TTGAATTCATTATTACCCTTAATAATTAAAACATCTAGAAAAGGCAATGAGTTATTTTCTTCAAACTCAGCAGTAAAGTTTATAGAATGGGCTAAGCTATTTAATTTTCCAAGGAAATGGTGTATATCTACATTTTTGGGCATAAGACACAAAATATCATCAACATATCTGAACCATTTAGCTCTATTAGGGAGGATTGTGTTAAGCAACCTTGTTTCAAAAAATTCCATGTATAGGTTACTTAGAACAGGTGAAAGAGGATTTCCCATTGCCATACCAAACTTCTGAGTGTAAAACTTATCATTAAATACAAATTTTGCATCAACAATGATTTAAAATACCCAAGAAATGTAATTGATAAATCTTTTAAAGTTGCTAGAAACACTTTTTAAAATCCAAAAAAGGGACAACCAGCCTTATTCAACTAAAAATATGTTGGTTCTCCCTTACCATGAAAACTTGGTTGATATGCCTTCTCTTCTTAAGACTTTTAATATTAAAGTTGTATTCAAAAATCTTGATACAGTAAAAAAAAATTTGATATAGAATTCTCCCCAAAATGCTGATGGATGTGTCTATAAGATTCCTTGTAACATTTGCGATAAAGTTTATTACGGTCAAACTGGTAAAAATCTCGAACTAAGATTAAAACAACATAAATATAGCATTAGAACTGGACAAGATTCCAATGCTCTATTTATTCATGTAAGAGATTTTAACCACCCAATTGATTTTCAAAAAGTTGAGAAAGTAGTATCAAGCAAGTCCATGGTCGACAGGAATATAATTGAATCTTGTTTCATAAAAGCAGTTTTGACAATAATATGAATATTTCCTTTGGTTTATATAAATTAGATCCATTTATAATTAATAGAATTTGGGAAGAATTTAATAATACACTGGACAAATAATTTTTAAATTTTCTTGGGTAGAATAGCTTGGGGGTGAGTTGTGCAAGGGACCTATCCAAGTTGGCTCGCCGCGCGTCACGTGTTTAACCGTTGTGGGATCTGATAGTGAGGTGCTGGCCGGACCCCTTATATAGCTTCCTTGGATGCTTCACTTTCATAGTTCCTTGATAATGTGAGTAGTCACGAAAGCGCTTGGAATTTCTCTATTCTTTCAGAGTGGTTGTTTTGCATATTTTGAAATCACCTGTTCACTGTGATCTTATTGCATTACTGGATACCACACGACTCTTCAGAATGTTCTCGATAAGCTTTCCTAATCATATATCTTTTGTTTCACAGTTTTCTTCTGCACTGATCAAGTCCCACTAGTTAAAAATTCGACTTAATTTTTTTAAAAATTGTTTAAATGAACAAGTTCTGCCCAAGTCTCTTTTACCCAATAGACTCCTTGACATGAGAGATCGTCCTTTTGATGATTTTATGAGAATTATTCTTCAGAAACATATTGAAATAACTAAAATACAGGAGAAGGAAGCATTCAAAATATTGAGAAACAAAAAAATACTCTTTTAATCAGGCCATTCCATCAGAATGGAAACACAGTATGTTGGATCATTGCTATAATAAACTCAGAAGAATTTGTAATGAACTCAAGAACAAACTACAAAGAAAATTAGACATTTTAATTGAAAATAGTGATTGGACAAAGCATGCTAATAACAATTTTGTAATTAACTTATCAGATGAAATTTTAGACAAACATACAACTGCTGCTCTAGGTTTTGGCCTAAGTTTTGCAACTTCAAAAAAACTTAATAATGTTGAAATTGCAAAAGCCTTTTGTAACTTTGAAAAATTTTCTGATTTATCCTCTGATGAAATTAATATTAGTAAAGGAATGGTATATAGCTCTATGTTAAAACCAAACATTCCCAATTGCCCTCAAAGATTCTTCAAGTCTTATGATACACTTAATAACAATAAAAATTTGCGCCTTACTAAAAATAAATGCAATAGTAATTATGAAAGAAAATGATTACTAAGAAAAAATGAATAATCTCTTAGATGATACTGAAACCTATTCTAAACTTAGGAAAAATCCCCTAGAAACCGTTAACAGCAATTTCAATAAAACAATAAAACTTCTACTGAAAGGCAAAGATGAATTAGTCAAACAATTTACTTCCACTAATCCATCTTTACCTTACATGTATGGACTAATAAAAACACACAAACCAGGGAATCCAGTCAGACCAGTTATTAGCTCCTAAGGATCAGTTTCATATAAATTATCCAAATGGCTTGTTGATATTTTGAGCCCTATTGTTGGCAAAATTTCTAACTTTAATGTTAAAAACAACATACACTTGGTTGATAAATTAAGCTCCTTGACTGACTTAAATGATTTTAACATGGTTAGTTTTGATGTTACTTCCTTGTTTACGAAAGTTCATGTTGATGATTTATTAAGTTTCTTATCTGAAGAACTCGTTAACTATGATTTACCATTGCCAGTTCCTACTATCATTAAACTTATTAAACTTTGCATTGTTGATGCAAAATTTGTATTTAATGATAAGTTTTACACTCAGAAGTTTGGTATGGCAATGGGAAATCCTCTTTCACCTGATCTTAGTAACCTATACATGGAATTTTTTGAAACAAGGTTGCTTAACACAATCCTCCCTAATAGAGCTAAATGGTTCAGATATGTTGATGATATTTTGTGTCTTATGCCCAAAAATGTAGATATACACCATTTTCTTGGAAAATTAAATAGCTTAGCCCATTCTATAAACTTTACTGTTGAGTTTGAAGAAAATAACTCATTGCCTTTTCTAGATGTTTTAATTATTAAGGGTAATAATGAATTCAAATTTAAAATTTACAGAAAACCTACAAATAACTGTTCCTATGTCCACTATTTTTCCTCGCATCAAGATAGAGTCAAACTGTCTGTTTTCTCATCAATGTTTTTGAGAGCTTTACGAATTTGTAGTCCTGAGTTCATAGATGAGGAAATATCCAAAATTTATGAAATAGGTAATGATTTAAAATACCCAAGAAATGTAATTGATAAATCTTTTAAAGTTGCTAGAAACACTTTTTATAATCCAAAAAGGGGCAACCAGCCTTATTCAACTAAAAATATGTTGGTTCTCCCTTACCATGAAAACTTGGTTGATATGCCTTCTCTTCTTAAGACTTTTAATATTAAAGTTGTATTCAAAAATCTTGATACAGTAAAAAAAAATTTGATATAGAATTCCCCCCAAAATGCTGATGGATGTGTCTATAAGATTCCTTGTAACATTTGCGATAAAGTTTATTACGGTCAAACTGGTAAAAATCTCGAACTAAGATTAAAACAACATAAATATAGCATTAGAACTGGACAAGATTCCAATGCTCTATTTATTCATGTAAGAGATTTAAACCACCCAATTGATTTTCAAAAAGTTGAGAAAGTAGTATCAAGCAAGTCCATGGTCGACAGGAATATAATTGAATCTTGTTTCATAAAAAGCAGTTTTGACAATAATATGAATATTTCCTTTGGTTTATATAAATTAGATCCATTTATAATTAATAGAATTTGGGAAGAATTTAATAATACACTGGACAAATAATTTTTAAATTTTCTTGGGTAGAATAGCTTGGGGGTGAGTTGTGCAAGGGACCTATCCAAGTTGGCTCGCCGCGTGTCACGTGTTTAACCGTTGTGGGATCTGATAGTGAGGTGCTGGCCGGACCCCTTATATAGCTTCCTTGGATGCTTCACTTTCATAGTTCCTTGATAATGTGAGTAGTCACGAGAGCGCTTTGAATTTCTCTATTCTTTCAGAGTGGTTGTTTTGCATATATATATATATGTCGTGCCGAATATGTAAAACTGGTTAATTAGCAAGAACTCATTTAAAATTAAGTCCTGTCTAAAATTTTCTCTTATACGTTTAAAGATATATTTTTTTCATTAATGTTGATGTAAAAATTTTTAATTTTGCACCAAAAGAATCTTAGAAAACTTACCTAACCTTATTATAACAAGAGCAATTTATTTTAGCCTAACCCAACTAAATATATTTTAAATATGTTTACAATAATTTAGTACTAAACAAACACAATCAAATATATTTTTTTCGTTAGGTTCAGAATGATTTTGGCGAAATTATTGCATACACAAATTTTCACTTGTCCTACATGGCAAGATGAGCGTTGCTATTTAAGCCAAGATCGCAAATTCTGCCTATTCGGCACGACATATATATATATATATATATATATATATATATATATATATATATATATATATATATAATATATATATATATATATATATATATATATATATATATATATATACACATATATATATATATATATATATATATATATATATATATATATATATATATATATATTATATATATATATATATATATATATATATATATATCAAGCACGGGCGCCTAACGGAACCTAAGCTGTGAATCCCATACCCGTGAGCACCAGGCATGTGATAAGTTATTTCATCAAATCCTGCCATATGCGGTAAACTTCGAAAGAGATTTGTAATGCTTGAAGAGTGCTCCTTACAGAGTTCCTGAGAGTTTTGAGTATCTACCGTCCGTATCACTCGGATGAGATTGCGAAAATCTTTGAGACTGCATCAAGGTTGCTATTTCGTGATAACAGCCAAGAATACCCACTAAATATTATACCTGGGGTAACACCACCAAGAAAGAACCTGTTAGAGCTGCCTATCAACGAGAACCTAAGGATCATGCTAGCACATTGTCCTGAAGAGATCTGATATACAGGTAGTATTAAAGAACATAGAATAATCAGGAAGATACTAATTAGGAATTCCCCATGTGCACAATGAGAAAGGTGTATGAGAGGTGTATACAAGAACTACCTCCCTTTCGTTATCTCTTTTTCCTAAGTAGTGCTGAATAAATCTTTCAGGTTTAACGCAGCATCAATACATTTATAATAATGCTCATTTTAATGGCAGTTCTTAGTGACCATTGCGCAAAGAAAACAGTTCAGCAGTGAAGAGCGTATAGAGCAACACTATTAAATCACTGAAAGACGAAGCTGTCAATAGACAGTGCCACTCGTTTTCTAAGCGACCATATTGCAGTGAAGACAGCAATAACCTTGCAGGAACTATTTACTGAGATTCCAATAAAGTTAAGAGACTCATTAAAAGAACTGACAGAGAGGTCAATAGAGATTAAAGAGAATTAAAAGGCTTGAAGGAGCAAATAACTGCAACGTCAGTATAGTCAAAAGGCTCCTTGGAACAATTAGTAGAGAGAACAATGTAGTTAAAAGGCTCATTGGAAAAACAAATGAAAGGGCCAGTATAATTAAGTGGTTCATTGTAATAATTAAGTGAGAGACAAGTAGTGTGAAGAGGTTCACTGAAGCAATTAAGGGAGAGTCATAAGCACTTACAATTAACTGAGAGGTTCAGCGGTGGACTGTGAGCATCTCCCTCGACATTGGAAGCTGAGCACATGTAAGGCCCCGCCTGATGACGCGTTACTCCTCGAATTGCCAAACTGTTGCCGCTGATCAGGATCCCGTCCTCTGGTGAGTGAACGATGGCTTCGTCCTGCAGGATGCAGTAGGAAATAAGGATTACTGGCTAAATAAGGTACAGAGAGAGAGAGAGAGGAGAGAGAGAGAGAGAGAGAGAGAGAGAGAGAGAGAGAGAGAGAGAGAGAGAGAGAGAGAGAGAGAGAGAGAGAGAGAGAGAGAGAGAGAGAGAGAGAGAGACAATAGAGAACAGAGCAAGAAGGCTCATTTCTCGCCTGGGCTCAACCTGGACAAATCTGTTATATCAGTAGAACGTCCAAGGAAGGGAGGTGGGTGGCCTTACTGTTATATACAAGGCCAATTTTGTCAAAGTACCACATTTGGCTCCACTCCTTGGACAGCGAGAAATGAGCTACACAACAAGGCAGAAAACAGCACCTATACTCTCACCGTACCCTTCTCAAGAATATCGCTTCTCCTGAGATCATATCTTCCTAGGATGATTCGCGTCTGCAAAATGTTCGTGCAGTATAACAATACCAACGATATAAAATCAGTTGACCAAATTAAATTGCTGGCCTACAGATGGTTCGAACTTCATCCTGTTCCATGCAAATATATCTCAACAGTCAAAAGGCTTTTAAATGAGCTGATGTTGGTAATAGCACTTAGCTTGTAAATAGAATTAGGAACCCTAAACCTAACTTTGTTAAACCTTGTGTAGAAGGGAGAGAGAGAGATAGAGACTGACAGGCAGATAGACAGATAGACAGACAGACAGACGGACAAATATTCAAACACACAGACAGACAGACACAGACCGAGAGACACAGAGAACGAAAGATGTGTGCTAACTGCATATTTTGAGGGAAAGCACTACAGTGAATCAAAGAATACTTAACAGGATGAAAGCAACGAGTGATTGTCCTACTGGAAGTGTCGGGGTGGACAAGTGTGACGAGTGGGGTTCCACAAGAGCCATTGCTGGGATTGGTACTATTTCATGTAAGAGTGAACGGTATGGCGAGAGAAAGTGTCATATATCTTCCTGGGGATAAGAATCTTTCCTCTGTAAGCTAAGCTTGACGTAAGAGGCGACAAATATGCCAGGAATAATGGGCTAGTAACGAAGTGCGGAGAAATAAATGTGATTAGGTTAGGAGTATCTGAGAGAGATAGAGCAAAAGGAAAGGGTAGCAATGAGAATATATATGTAAAAGTTCAAGGATTATGTTGATTAAAATGTGGGTCGTATGCGAAAGGTGAGTTATGGTAAGTGTTATGCACTTAGAGAAGAGAGAAATGTAATGGAAAGAGAGTAAGATTTTGGGAAATGTTGAGTGTTTAGGGAGTTGAATCAAATGAGAGAGTAATTGTGGAGGGTACCTGAATGCCAGAGTGGGAGTGGTAGCTAAGTTTCTGGTGCCAGGGGTAAATGATAACCAGGGGCCTTTGATTGATCTATGTATAGGAAGAGGTGCAATAATAAGTAATACTTATTTAAAACAAAAAAGGATAAACAAGTATACGAAATATGGTATAGGTGCGTAACGACAGTTTGCTGGATTATGTATTGATGGATAAAAGGTTGATGGGTAGACTACAGGATGTTCATGTTTATAGAGGAGCAACAGACAGTTTTTAGTTGTAGCTACAGTGAGAATAAAAGGTAGATGGGGGTACGAGGAAAATGGTATCAGAAAGTAAGAGAGAGGTGAAGATTTATACACTAAAAAAGGAGGTAGTTAAGGTAAGACATAAACAAATAATGGTAGAAAGATGGGCTAGTGAGAGTATAGTCAATGTGGTTGAAGAGGTCTGAGGTAGATTTAAAAATACAGTAGTAGAGTGTTCAGTAGAAGTTTGTGAATATAGGAGGGTGGATGACAGAGGGAAGAGAGAGTAGAAAGAGAGAAAAAGTTGGTATATGAGAGTTTTTCAAAGTGATTATAAGAAGGGAGCAGTATATAGAGACAAAAAGTGAGGTTAAGAGAACAAGGAGGCTTTAAGAAGGGTAGTGGATATGTAGACCAAGTGTTTACAATGAACAGTATTTAGATAAGGGCTAAGTGGGTTTCGTTGCATTTAAGTTAGGGTATTTATGAGAGAGGGAATTTATTTTACAGTAAAAGTAGGCCTTAAGCAGGGTTGCATGATATTACCATGGTTGTTCAAAATATTTATATATGGGGCTGTAAAAAACTGAATTCTCAGGTGTTGACAAGAAGTGTCAGATTAAATAATAAAGAATCTAACACAAAGTGGGAGTTGTTACAGTTGTTTTTTACTGATGACACTGTGCTTTTGCGAGATTCTGAAGAGAAGCTACAGAAGTTCGTGGTCGAGTTGGGGAGGGAATGTAAAAGAAGGAAACTAAAAGTGAACATAGGAAAGAGCAAGTTGATAAGGATAACAAAAAAACTGAGGTGATAAAAGACTGGATATAAGACTGGAAGGAGGGAGTATGGATGAAGTGAATGCATTCAGATATTTAGAAGTGAGCTTTTTAGCAGATGGATCTATGATAAACGAGGTAAACAAAAAGATGAATGGTGCACTGAGAGTCTGTGGAGACAAAAAGGGTTATCCATGGAAGGAAAACGGGAAATGTATCAGAATGTAGTAGTACCAACGTTCATATATGGGTGTGAAGTATTGGTGTTGAATGCTGCACCAAAGAGAACGCTGTAGTCCTCGTGTCTAAGAGCAATGTGTGGTGTGAATACTATGCAGCGAATCCGTACCTTGGAGACGGGAAGAGTTGCAGGTTTTTCAAAAGTATTATCCGGAGGGCTGAATAATAATAATAATAATAATAATAATAATAATAATAATAATTATATTTTTTTATTTCTACAAGTACTTGTACATGGTATACAAGTCTAGCTGACATTGGTGACATACTATTACTCAGAAAGCCCTTATTATGCAGAGCATTTCGGGCACTTTGGGTCAATTTTGTCTCATGATGCGACCCAAACAGTTGACTAACACCCAGGTACCTATTTTACTGATAAGTGAACATCGACAGCAGGTGTCTTAAAGAAACTCATCCTAATGTTGTCACCCGTACTGGGGATCGACCCCGGGATCTCATTGTGTGAGCTGAGTACGCTAGCAATCAAGATGGTTAGAGAAGATGGAACGAATTAGAATGACTTGGAGAATTCATAAATCTGTAGCGGAGGGAAGCAGGGTACGGGTCGTCGTTCTTCTGATGCTTTGTGTGCGAAGGGCATCATAGACTTCCAGCAAACATGCGTAAGAGTGATAGGAGTGAGTGGAGGTAAATGGTTTTTATGACTTGAGTGCTGTTGGAGTGTGAGCAAAGTAACATTTATGAATTTATTCAGAGAAAAATGGTTAGCCGGGCTTGAGTCCTGGAGCTGGGAAGTACAAGGTCTGTGCTTTTCTGTGTCACCCTGCCTCTTTGGGACACAACCTGTGTATTAATAAAAAATATATATAAATATAATAATGAATATATAAATACAATAAATATAAAATATATATAATATAAATATATAAATATAATAAATATAAAACATATATAATATAAATATATAACTATAATAATTTCGGGTTGTAGGTTGGTAGACAGCAACCGCCCAGGGAGGTACTACCGTCCAACCAAGTGAGTGTAAAACGAAGCCTGTAATTGTTTTACATGAGGGTAGGATTACTGGTGCCTTTTTTCTGTCTCATAAACAGGCATTATTTCAAGTACGTCTTGTTTCTCGTACTTGCACTTAGGTCACAGTACACATGCATGTACACGTTTATGTATACATACTCATCTGAGTTTTCTTTGATTTTGTCTTAATAGTTTTTGCTCTTTTTACTTTTCCTTTCACATCCATGGGGAAGTGGAATAAAAATCTTTCCTCCGTAAGCCATGCGTGTTGTAAGAGTCAACTAAAATGCCGAGAGCAATGTGCTAGTAACCCTTTATCCTCTATAGATTAATAAAAATAAGAAGAAAACCGTCAAGGTGGGATGCTTCAAAGTGCGTGGATGTAGAGGGAAGGATAAGAAAGAGGTGATTGCAGATGTTATGAATGAAAAGAAGTTGGATGTCTTGGTTCTAAGTGTAACAAAGCTGAACGAGGTAGGTGAATTTCAGTGGGAAGAAATAAATGGAATTAGGAGAGGTTTCTAATAGTGTTAGAGCTAAAGAAGGAGCAGCAATAATGTTGAAGGATAAATTACGGCAGGAAAAGAGAGAATATAAATGTATAAATTCAAGGATTATATGCAGTAAAATGAGATATGGATGTGAAAAGTGGGTTATAGTAAGTGTTTATGCACCTGGAGCAGAGAGAAGTGTAGAGGAGAGACAGAGATTTTGGGAAATGTTTAGTGAGTGCGTGGAGAGTTTTGAACCAAGTAAGAGAGTACTTGTGGTTGGGGATCTAAACGCTAAAGTGGGTAAAATATGGTGGAGGGAGTAGTAGGTAAATTTGGGGTGCCAGGGGTAAATGAAAATGGGGAGCCATTAATTAAACTATGTGTAGAAAGAGGTTTGGTAATATGTAATACATAATTTATGGAACAGAGGATAAATAAGTATACAAGATATAATATAGCACGTAATGAAAGTAGTTTGTTAGATTATGTATTGGTGGATAAAAGGTTGATTGGTAGGCTCCAGGATGTACATGTTTACAGAGGGGCAACTGATTTACCGGATCATTATTAAGTTGTAGCTACAGTTAGAGTAAGAGGTAGATGGGGCAAAAGGAAAATGGCAACAGGAAGTAAAAGAGAGGTGAAAGAGTATACACTAAGGAAGGAGGAAGTTAGGGTGAGATATAAGCAACTATTGGAAGAAAGGTGGGCTGGTGCAAGTATGGGTAGTTGCAGTGTTGGAATGTGGGTCATAAGTTTCTGGCTATAGGAGGGTGGGTGCAGAACGAAAGAGGAGTGATTTTTCGGGGAATGATGAGGGAAAGGGTGTTATAAAAGAGAAAAAGGTCGCTAAAGAAAGATTTTTTTCAAAGCAGAAGTGTTACAAGAAGGGTGGAGTATATGGAAAGTAAAAGAAAGGTCAAGAGAATTGTGAGAGAGTGCAAAAGG